GGTAAGGTGCTGGCTAGTGTCATTCAGTCACGCCATCAAGTGATAGCCGCTGAATTTATGCCGGAGTCTCAATGTGGGTTTAGACGCGGCCGTACCTGGCGTACCTGATGCTCGAGCCATGGTCTCAACCCTGCTTGTAGACACAACGCTCAGTGTTCGAGTATGCGGACAGACTGCAGACGCCTTTCAATCTGGCATTGGCACACCACAGGGAGATTGCCTGAGCCCTGTCCTGTTTACGTGCTACTTTGAACATGTTCTGCAGCAGCTGAGACATCAGTTCCGAAGAGAAAGTACAGGCCTAGCACCGTCTATCCCTGAACTTCAGTACGCAGATGATCTTGACTTCCTCGATGAAAATGACCAAAATCTTGAACAAACCCATGACGTATGCGTGCTGAAGATGCCAGAACACCAATTGATGATCAACGGCGCGAAAACTGAACGGACCCACTTCTACCTCGATGCAGACCTGGAAAAAAGAGGGAAAGAAGAATGGCGGATGGCAAAGTCGGTTGGATCGAGAGCTGGTACTGCCGAGGACATCAAACACCGAATGGTTCTGGCATCGCAGTCATTTGGCCGGATGCAAAGCCTTCTACAGTCATCAGGGATCTCCCTAACGTTGAAGCTGAGGCTGTACAATTGCTACGTTCTAAGCATTTTGCTTTACAACTGCGCTACCTGGGGCCTCGCTGAGGCACTCAGAACGTCTCTGGACGTTTGCCACCGCCGTCACCTCCACTCGCTACTCCGTATAAAGTATCCAAATATAATCAAAAACACGGAACTCTACAACCGCTGTCGCACCCAACCCATATTCAAGGAGATCGCGGCGAGGCGATGGAGCTTCCTGGGGCATGTGCTCCGGATGCCATCAGGGGCACCGCCACAGGTCGCTCTCGATTTTGCTGCTTCTGGTGCCTTGCGGGGAAGGATAGGCAGACCAAGAACAACACTGCTAACCACTCTCTCACTGGATTGTCGGGAGAAGCTGGGGCTTGTGCTTCTGTCGCGACCTGGCCTAGCCCAGCTTCGGAAGGTGGCGTATGATAAATGCCGATGGAATTCATTGCGAAACAGCACTGTTAATTAGCCTGGCCATACTAATACGATTACATCTGACATGCTTGCCTGCCTACTTGTGCGCACGCATGCATTCTTGCCGGAGATGTCTACCTGTGGCGACAATAATTTTTTCATGGACTGATCTTCTTTTTTAGTGTTTGCACACTCTTGGCTGCTGCTGCTGTGGCGCTTTTGTATTTACATGCTGCTGCGCTCTGTACGGCTGCACTAGCCGTGTTAACTGTCGTACCCAGATGCACACATTCAATCCCTGGCTATGCTTTGGAATTGTTTTCGTTGCCTTTGTCCTCATCTCTCTTCGTTTTGTTTTCGCTGCCTGGGCTCTCATTTATCTTTGCGTGCTTGCTTGCTTGTATTGCTGAGGGAACATATGATGGTTTGTATTCGTGGGTCCCCATGGTGCATGGGCCACGCGTACTCATCTGGCGGATATGTGTGAATAATAATAATAATAATAATAATCTTCTGTGTGCGACAGCTGTGGGGAAAGACCATCGAACACAACACCAAGGGATTCTTCATATTCATTGATCTGAGGAAGGCTTATGATTCTGTTCCACGTGAATGCTTGTGGCGAGTGCTCGCACATGCTGGAGTTCTTAACTCAATGTTGCAGGTCATCCGCTCTTTCCACTCAGAGATGTTCGCCACGCTTCGCGTGGGAGGTATCACAGCGAACCCCTTCAGTGTGCCCAATGGATTGCGCCAGGGATGCAACATGGCACCAGTGCTGTTCAATATCTTCATGTGGGCTGTCGTCGTCAAGTGGCATGGAGCGGTGAAAGACATCCCTGGTATTGGATTTGAGTTTATGACTCATGATGGTGATTGCAACTTGTATCGGAAGACGCGCCGTACTGATCCCGTCGTGGTTGTCACTGAATCCCAATTCGCCGATGATTCGTCTCTATTCGCGACTACGCAGCATGGTGCAGAGCTTGCCTTGTCCACCTTTATTAGTGTCGCGGCTGAGTTTGGGCTAGCGGTCAGCTCCTCAAAGACCAAGCTTCTCATGGCCGGTTCCCGCGTCTCTGCAGAGGACTGTGCGTCTATGCAGCTCGCGGGTGTTGATATTGAGTGCGTCCCCGACTTTAAGTACCTGGGCTCCATCATCCAGTGTGGCGGGTGATCGTCTTTGGACGTAGATGCCCGTATAGCCAGCGCTTCACGGGCTTGTGGTGCATTGAGGAGTTCCGTTTTTAACAACCGACACCTGGATATCCACATCAAGAGATGCGTATTCAACAATGGCGTGATGTCGCTATTGCTTTACAGTTCCGAGTGTTGGACACCTCTCCAACGTGATTTTCAGCGCCTGTCCCCGTGTTTCACATGAGATGTGTGGGGTCGATTCTTGGCGTATCCCGTTCACAGTGCTGGAAGGACCACATTTCCAACGTGCAACTGTTGAAACTGTGGGGTGATCCCGAGCCTCTCAATATCAAGGTTGCGAACCGCCGGCTGGAGTGGTTGGGCCATGTGGTCCGAATTGAGTCAGAAAGGATGCCGCGGCAGCTCCTATCCGGGACAAGCACGCTCGTCGCCCGGCCCATGGTCCTCGGCGCCGCTGGAAAGACTGTGCAGTGTCCGACCTCAAGTCCCGGGGCGTATATGGTAGCTGGTATGCAACTGCACGGGAGTCTCGGGTCGAGTGGAGGGCCGTGTACACCTCAACAGATGCTGGTGCATCTTCTTTACACAGCGTCCTTAGGAGTGCGGCTGCTCCTGTCAACTGTGCTGTTTGCAAGAGGACGTTCTCGCGCACCCAGGATCGTGCCAGGCGCAAGTGCACTGCAGAGCGTGCGAAGCCAGTGAATGAACAGCGTGGAGCATGTCCGTGTGATCGCTGCGGCCATCGGTTCTTGAGCCGTGGTGGCCTTGCCCGTCACAAGTGTGTGGCTCAGTCCCCAGCCTCAGTGGAGCCATGTTGTGGCGCGCACTGTGCGTCCTGCGACCGCTGCTTCCGTTCGGTCCAGGGCAGGAATAGACACCACTGCTCAGGTTCTCCCCGGCCATACGTCAGTCTCGTGGTAACAGTCGTAGGTGACCTGAATCCTGGCGACCTCTCGTTGTTTGTGTCCCGGACGCCTCTCCTCTTCTCTCTCCGTTGCCCCTCCAGGGGCTGTTGTGTTCGCCTCACGCTCTGCGTGTCCAACTCTCACTCTCAGACAACACAGGGAGTCCTGGGACAAACAACTAACTTCTTCAAGAAATTCAAACGAATAATATGAGCTCACGGGCAGGGTTGCCCTGACCTGCGGCAAAGCGGTTTGCATGACGTCACGTCACCATACACATCAACTCCCTCTCCCAAACTGCAAGAAATGGAAAGAGCAGAGAAAATGATTGCAGTTTGAAGATATAAAAAGAGACAGATGTAACGGAATAAAGATGAAAACAGAAACGATCAACTATACTGCAAGTCTACAGATCTAAACGCTGTGGTTGCTTGCTGCTGCGGGAGCTACGCGGCCGGACGGTAATCGAGGAATCCGAAGAGGGGCCAGGTGTCTGCTCTGCAGTCTGGAGGAGTGCCGAAGAGTTGTTCGAGCTGGGAGACTGACCAAGATCGGAGGCTGACGGCGGCGGCACCGGGCGGAGGTACCGGCGGTTGCGCCAGAGCACGCGGCCGCTTGGAAGGCGGACATGGTAACTACGGGTACGACCAATACAGATGGTTGTGCCGACCTGGTCCCACTTCTTGGTGCGAGGGTTCTGTACCAGGACCTGGCAACCATCAGCCAAGGGTTGGAGTGGGTGAGCTGATCGGTCGTACTCGGACGCGGCTTTCTGAGCGGCGTTCCATGAAGGCTCAAATACACGTCGATGAGCCGGGACGAGTGTACGCAGCGGATGTCCGAATAGCATCTGGGCGGGAGACACGCCCGCTGCATTAGGGGTATTGCGCCACTCCAGCAAGGCGCTATCGAAGGCCTCATCCTGAAGATTGCCGTGGTGCGTGCGTTTCGAGACCAAGTGCTTCATAGCGCGAACGGCGGACTCAGCGTGGCCTTTCGACTGTGGGAAATGGGGGCTGGACAAGAAGTGCTCAACGCCCCATCGGGTCATGAAGTCGGCGAGATCCTTGGAGGCAAATTGAGGACCACCATCTGACCGAAACTTTGTCGGAACGCCCAATGCTACGAACGTGTGATGTGTATGGTGACGTGACGTTATGCATCACGTCACCATACACATCAGGGGCCACGTGACCCTTGTGGCAGTGGATCGACAGGACAGGACAGGTGTGTGTGTGTGTGTGTGTGTGTTTCAACAGTTTGTGCGCACGCGGGCGTGCTTGTAATTAACTCTTTTGTAATGAATGGTGATTTTGAAGCTTGTATCAGATAAAAAAAACTCTGTTTTAGCCACCCACACTAGTAGCAAGCAATGGCCGAAGGTTCACTTGATTTACGGGTCTACAGTTGAGCCACGGGAAAGACTACACAAATATCTACGGCAAAAACTCCATCAGGCTAACATTGCCTAACATGAGAAAAGTACCTGGGGTGGGAGGGTGTGGGGGGGGGGGTAGGGGGGGGGGTGGCAGTCACAATCTTCCAGTTCATCATGCGGCTTGCAGCTCTCATACAGACAGAGGAATCATTCTACGGGACAAGACACCCAATTATATCTCTGTGTAAAACATGGTTGGAATAGTTTCTTTTAGAAAATACAGCACAACATAATTTTAAAACGTGATTGAAGAGCACGAGAATACCGTAATTATTGCCGATCGTTCTGGTTATATATGGCAGCATTGCTTTCAGAGATATAGGAAAGGAATGCTTGATGTTGACCGCACAGAATTCATCCATTCCACGATATGGCAATTGTCATTAATTCCAGGTACAGGTACTCGTGATATCAACATGATTGTCGGTTTCGTTGTTGCTGCTATGGCTGTGTAGGATGGGAGAACTCCTCTTGGTGAAGCAGTGTACTGGGGGAAAGCAGGTTGTGTACCCTACTTGCTGGAAGTCACCTGGACCAAGCTTGCATATGATGAGGTAAGAGTTGAGAAAAGTTGGTTGTGTTACGAATGGGTCTACCAGTTTTGTCTGAGAAGATTTTGTTCTATTACACTGAAAACCTTTGCTCTGAAAACCAGTCCCCCCCCCCCCTCCTCTGCACAAGTTCTTATCAGTTTGATATGATTGTTTTGCCTGAAACACGTAGCTTTACTTAAGGTTGGATAAAATGGACGATCTCCATGAAGCCGGTTGGAGTATGATGAAAGAGTACTTTCTGTAGATTAAGTGCGTAAGAGAATATTATTTCTCCTTTATTCACTTCTTTCGAAGGCGATAAGCCAGACCCACCGGGAAATATTTCCATGGGTGGGACAGCAAAAAGAAAGTGAAAAAACAAAAACAAAAATAAATAAATAAATAAAACCTAAAAACCAAAGGGACAAGAACTAGTTGAAGGAAGAGGAAGAAAGGAAAGAAACTCAATCCGAACTCCAACATCAAAACAATAATAAAGAATTTGCAGCGACAGGCAAAATACATCAACCAATGAAGGGAGTAGTAACAAAGGAAATATCAGTCTTTATCAGTCGTTATTCAAGTCTCTTAGCTATTGAACCTGCAAACGCAGCAGAGGTGCATCTACATGTTAAGGATAGTTCTCAGTATTTTAATAGAACCTTGTATAGCCTCCTGTTGCACAATAGCCAGGTCTCCTCCCTGCACAGTCCGAAGGCATTGAGGAGTCTCCCCCACCAAGCCTCCCAGGGCACTTATTATTATTATTATTATTATTATTCAAACAAGTTTTCGTACAACACTCTTCAGGAATCACCGTTGTACTAAAGAACAAAATGAGAACAAAGGAAATAATATAGCAATCAGGGTAGGGTGACACGATACAATGACAACACTGGAATATCGAGGTGCGATTTCTTACAAAATTGTGCAGAAAACAAGGGTATACAAGTAAGAACTAAGCATGACAAGTGTGTATCAGCAACAAAAACAAAAAAGTGAGAACGAATGATAATAATAACAAGAATAAACAAGAAGGTGACAAAACACATTTAGGCACAAGTGGCAACAACGTTGCCACACTACACAAAAGAACATTATTTGAACAATTTTAGGGTAATAACACTATCTTTCTGGACACACAAATTCGGCTTATGAATGCGCTGACAAACAGCTTCCAAAACTTGTAACTGCAAAAGATAACCATGACGAGCACGGCACAAAACAGAAAAACAGGAATCAGAATAAGTACGACAACAGTCAGTACTAGAAACCAAATGATTGTATACTGAAGACTTGTTATTACGAGACGGACGCACACAATCTCGACTCACGCGCACACCCTCACACTCACTCTCACCCTCACTCAGCTCACCTTCTCCCTCACTGTCCGAATCAGAACCTGCTCCGTCATCCACAGCGGTTTGACTCTCTTCCTCACTTGCATCGTCCTGCGTCTCACCTTCACCACCCACGCCAACCGTGAATGCCGTTGCCTTCATGTCAGTCGTCGTCCTTTCCGATTGTTTCCTTTGTATTTTTACCGTAAATTCATAGGTCCGGTTGTAATCTGCTGTAGATCTCCGTGGTCTGTCATTTGCTGCTTTGTTTTGTGGATTAGTTGTTGTTGTTGTTGGATGTGAACCTGGTGTTGTTGTTGGATGTGAAGCTAGTGTTGTTGTTGCAGCCATGGTTGTTGGTCTTTCTGTTGAATCCAGCTCTGGTTCCTGTGGGACAAATCGACCGCCGCGGGTGCTCCCCACCAACACAGACCTCGAAGGAGGAGGGTCAGGGGGAGGCAGAGGTGCTGTCACCACTTGAGGCACAGCCCCATGCAAAGCACCCAGAGGCACAGACTTAGGCACACCCGAGGGCTGCACCAATGGCGGTTCCGCACGCACCTCCAAAGAGCTGCCAAGCTCAAGCCCGTCCAACACAGATGTCAGAGGGGGAGCGGCAGACAGCGGCAAGGAACTATCCTGCCGTGTAGGTGATGGGTTTTTCCTAGGCCTCCCGCGTTTGGACCTCTCAGGTTGCGCACTGGGTGGAAGGATGTGAAGTGGAGTGTGTTGTTTGATACGTGCGTTCAGGTGCTGAACAGTCCCACCAACATACCGACTAGCAAAATGACGGCATTCGAAGTTGTAGATAACATGACTGAGGTGGAGGGTTTGGTAGGACGTCCTTCCGCACCGTGAACGCACGCATTGTTGTGAAGACTGGCACAAAATGTACTGCATAATAAGTACGACGGACGATAGACTTGACTTCGTGACACACTTTGATCGATTCCTGCCCCTTCCATGGCAAACATAGATAGACGCGAGAGCGAGGTGGACCAATCAGCACCGATTTCGGTTTCTGCTCCATGGACAGAAACTTACGCAACAAGAATTCCGGATAGCCATTCTTCAAGAAAACAGATCGAAGAAAATCGAGCTCGGCCTGCAGCTTACTGGGCGAACAAATACGTTTCGCACGGTCCACGAGGTTACGAACTAAGTTGACCTTGTATTGAGACGAACAATATGAATCGAAGGCAATGTACTGACCGGTGAACATAGGCTTACGATACACAGAAGTCAACATTTCACAGCACAACATTTCTGTCCATGGAGCAGAAACCGAAATCGGTGCTGATTGGTCCACCTCGCTCTCGCGTCTATCTATGTTTGCCATGGAAGGGGCAGGAATCGATCAAAGTGTGTCACGAAGTCAAGTCTATCGTCCGTCGTACTTATTATGCAGTACATTTTGTGCCAGTCTTCACAACAATGCGTGCGTTCACGGTGCGGAAGGACGTCCTACCAACCCTCCACCTCAGTCATGTTATCTACAACTTCGAATGCCGACATTGTGCTAGTCGGTATGTTGGTAGGACTGTTCAGCACCTGAACGCACGTATCAAACAACACACTCCACTTCACATCCTTCCACCCAGTGCGCAACCTGAGAGGCCCAAACGCGGGAGGCCTAGGAAAACCCATCACCTACACGGCAGGATAGTTCCTTGCCGCTGTCTGCCGCTCTCCCTCTGACATCTGTGTTGGACGGGCTTGAGCTTGGCAGCTCTTTGGAGGTGCGTGCGGAACCGCCATTGGTGCAGCCCTCGGGTGTGCCTAAGTCTGTGCCTCTGGGTGCTTTGCATGGGGCTGTGCCTCAAGTGGTGACAGCACCTCTGCCTCCCCCTGACCCTCCTCCTTCGAGGTCTGTGTTGGTGGGGAGCACCCGCGGCGGTCGATTTGTCCCACAGGAACCAGAGCTGGATTCAACAGAAAGACCAACAACCATGGCTGCAACAACAACACTAGCTTCACATCCAACAACAACACCAGGTTCACATCCAACAACAACAACAACTAATCCACAAAACAAAGCAGCAAATGACAGACCACGGAGATCTACAGCAGATTACAACCGGACCTATGAATTTACGGTAAAAATACAAAGGAAACAATCGGAAAGGACGACGACTGACATGAAGGCAACGGCATTCACGGTTGGCGTGGGTGGTGAAGGTGAGACGCAGGACGATGCAAGTGAGGAAGAGAGTCAAACCGCTGTGGATGACGGAGCAGGTTCTGATTCGGACAGTGAGGGAGAAGGTGAGCTGAGTGAGGGTGAGAGTGAGTGTGAGGGTGTGCGCGTGAGTCGAGATTGTGTGCGTCCGTCTCGTAATAACAAGTCTTCAGTATACAATCATTTGGTTTCTAGTACTGACTGTTGTCGTACTTATTCTGATTCCTGTTTTTCTGTTTTGTGCCGTGCTCGTCATGGTTATCTTTTGCAGTTACAAGTTTTGGAAGCTGTTTGTCAGCGCATTCATAAGCCGAATTTGTGTGTCCAGAAAGATAGTGTTATTACCCTAAAATTGTTCAAATAATGTTCTTTTGTGTAGTGTGGCAACGTTGTTGCCACTTGTGCCTAAATGTGTTTTGTCACCTTCTTGTTTATTCTTGTTATTATTATCATTCGTTCTCACTTTTTTGTTTTTGTTGCTGATACACACTTGTCATGCTTAGTTCTTACTTGTATACCCTTGTTTTCTGCACAATTTTGTGAGAAATCGCACCTCGATATTCCAGTGCTGTCATTGTATCGTGTCACCCTACCTTGATTGCTATATTATTTCCTTTGTTCTCATTTTGTTCATTATTATTATTATTATTATTATTTTAACTGGTTTGAGGGAAAGAGACAAACGGGAAAAATCTGAAGAAAAAATTGACTGTCACCACCAGGACTCGAACCAGGGACCCTCGCTTGTAGCCAGCGATGCTCTAACCACTGAGCTATGGTGTAGTCGTCATCCCAGCAGAGACCGTTCAACGTTTTCTTCAGACTTCGTAACTCACACTTCCCGTGAATCCACACAGGCGGTATTATTATTATTATTATTATATTGTCCTGGTGGTGACAGTCAATTTTTTCGTCAGACTTTTCCCGTTTGTCTCTTTCCCTCAAAACCAGTTAATATGTTATGACTTGGGGCTCCCCGCGTGCTAGTTTGTACGTGAAGTGTGTGGGTACAGTGAGGGCTGCGTCCCACCCGCCTGTGTGGATTCATAGGAAGTGTGAGTTACGAAGTCTGAAGAAAACGTTGAACGGTCTCTGCTTGGATGACGACTACACCATAGCTCAGTGGTTAGAGCATCGTTGGCTACAAGCGAGGGTCCCTGGTTCGAGTCCTGGTGGTGACAGTCAATTTTTTCTTCAGACTTTTCCCGTTTGTCTCTTTCCCTCAAAACCAGTTAATATTATTATTATTATTATTTTCACTAGTTTGAGGGAAAGAGACAATTATTATTATTATTATTTTACTGCCTGATATTGCCTGTCTTGCTGTATAATTGTGCGCTTTGGACCTTATCGCAAACATTAACCGACGTCGTCAATGTATGGCACCAGAAGAAACTACGTACCATCATTGGTATCATGTACCCACAACGAATCTCGAACACAGCGCTGTATGCCAGAACCGAGCAGACCCCACTATCCCAAGTCTGCAGGCAACGGAGACTGCTGTGGTTCGGCCATGTAGTGAGGGAAGGCGAAGAATCGTCCTCTTTCCAAGCCCTCCTAATGTCAATCAACACAACAGACATACGACGACCCCGAGGACGACCACGTCTGAGATGGATCGACGTTGTCAAGAAAGACTTACAATGCATTAATCTGTCGCTTCTGGATGCTGTGCAATCTGCTTCTGATAGAGCTGCTTGGCTCGAAATTGTTAACAGATGCGTTGACCTCATGCAATGAGTGAAATGCGAACTGTCATTATTATTATTATTATTATTATTATTATTAACTGGTTTGAGGGAAAGAGACAAACGGGAAAAGTCTGAAGAAAAATTGACCGTCACCACCAGGACTCGAACCAGGGACCCTCGCTTGTAGCCAGCGATGCTCTAACCACTGAGCTATGGTGTAGTCGTCATCCCAGCAGAGACCGTTCAACATTATTATTATTATTATTATTATTTTAATATGGCAATAAGTAGGACGAGCTGAAGCGACATGTGGACTACTTTAACAATGTAACAAAAAATGATTGTCTCGTCGTCGAATTACTATTATTATTATTATTTATTCTTGTTTTACTAGGGAATTCCCAACAGGCGGCGACGCCTTTTTACTAGCATGCGTTCTTCTCTAGTCTGTTTCCTCACTGTCTACTTCAATGTATACTGGGTGTCATCATCGTGTACAGTGCATCTCTTTTTACCCTTCACTTTTAGTCATGGCAACTTATTTTGTGCATGATGTTAAATTGGTTAAGTATTGAGCAGTGTCAGAAAGGTCTATCATTTCTTACTGTGCACCTGTGCTATATATATACGGTGTAAGAAGTAAAATGGCGGGTGTGTTTTTCTGTGGTATTTTGGATATGTGATGGTTATTGTGACTAGTGAAATTGATGACACTGAAGAGTGTATCGCTATACCAATATTGGTTCTATGTTTCCAATCCAGGCAAAGGAGATTGTGGAGGAAGCCAGAAGGATAGCTCAAACCCGCTTCAAAACCCAAACATTGGACTTGATCAAGGTAAAACATATCGTTAGGAATACTAACTCTTTGCTTATGGATGAGAGGAATGAATAATTGGTACGAGTTGGGAGTAATGACCCACCGATGTAACCAGATCAAATAGAAATGCAGTTAGAAGTTGTGACAAGGCACAAGGCTGACAGGGTACTGAAACATTCAACACCCTGACACCTAGGTCCAACATATCTTTCAGCGCAAACAGGATGATAACAAGTAATAGTTACATCTCACATGCTAAAGGCGGGGTTGTGGGGGTGGTGGGTAGGTGTGGTGGTGGGGGTGGGGGGGGGGGGTGAATTGGAGTAGCATTGATCCTTATTGGAGACAGGAGAGAACAGGAGAAGCCCAAGATTGCGTTACATCAACACGCACGATTCGAGTAGGGAACAAGAGGGAGGATGAGAGAGAAGGAGCGAAAAGCAGTGAAAGAATGAAAAGCAGTGAAGAGGTAATGCGAGTGACGGTGAGAGAGAGAGAAAAAGAATGGGAGAGGTCTTTCTAGATTTCTTGATGAATTCACTCAAAGACATTGCAATGATGAAGTGACTGATGGACAGAGAGCTGGCAAGATCACTATCAATGTCTCTGTTGATCGTCATTCGAGTCTCCAGGCAACAATTGACAGCCATGTATTGATAGAACCCGCAACTCACTCAGGGATAACCCTATAATTGTATTGTCACAGCAATGGGATACCTGGTCGGAGCTGATTGCTCACAATCACCAGCAATGGTAGGCACTGAAATTGGCTATTCAAATGTTCTGGCTAAGAGCAGATAATCCAAGAGTAACAACAGAGGTCACGGGGAAGAGTAGATCAGGATCGCAAGGGACGACAGAGTCAGTACACAATGACAAGACATATGAGGTGAAATGAGTGTCGAATGTCACCATTTGGTGGAAGACAAAACTGGAGACATATTTCTCTTCTAGTACTGTCGGTGTTGTAGCAAGCAGAGCAGTCAGATTAGTGATCATTCATTTCTGCTGTGGGCACCAACACAGAATGCGGATAGCTAATGTGAGAAACTCTCCTCTAAAATCTCATTGAATTCCTGGACAGACTGTGTTGAGTTGTGTGTGATTATGGATATTGACACTATACGAGTGTGATCCCTGAGCCCACTATGGACTCATACATCAATTGCCCTAATAATTGGTTGAAATACTGGTTACATTGAACAACCTGACAGCAACTAGCTTACTGTCAGATGTAAGACAGTGTCTAGTGTCTAGTGTACATGTATGTCCAGCTATGCGGATATACTGTAATATCTACAGTTGCGCTCTCTGAAATTCGACCCGTGTCCATATTTGGCAATCTCAACTTGCACGACCCTGGGTGTCCTGGAAGTGGCACGAATGCAGCTGGATGTAAATATCCGCAATACTACTTGTATAATCACAACTGATCGAGGGCGCCGCCGGCTTTGCAGCGACACTGTAGTTCTAGACAGTGTTCAACTTACATACTTTGGGTATTGTTGTTGTGTACTGCATTTGTATGCTCCAGACCAGCTTGATACGTGAAGAGTTTGGTGTTGAGGGTTACACTGATCCTACTGAACTGATTGCTAACGTGTGTGGAGCAGAAGGTTCAGGAAAATCTACCTTCATTTCATCCTTCACAGCAGAAGGTTTCTTCAATAAACGGCTACGCAAGGAGAATCAACCGGACTTGAAGGCAAAAGATTTAGCATCCCGAACAAAGGTTAGTTGAAAGCAATGAAGAATGCACCAAGTGCTACAGATCGTAATTTGGATGGATGCATGATTGATAGTCCAAATTGTTAGTGACAAGTTTTGTTTCATTCCAAATAAGCACAAATCAACACGAACGGGGAAGTGCGGAATGTAGGTGTTGTGAACCTACCGTATTTTCCGGGGTATAAGCCGCACCCCCCTTTTTGAGGCAAAATATTGACTAAAAGTTGGTATTCGGAGTATAAGCCGCACCCACAAACCAAGATTTTTCACACTCATTGACAAATGGCCTTTCTACAAATTTAATATGGTTATGGAGCTAAATACCATGTTAGATCAGATTATGAAGTGTTAGTGCACCACAGGTTGCTGCAGAGATGTTGGTGTATTGCTGTGTTGACTACAGATCACTCCATGTCATCTGCACTATATTCAGTCTCGCTGCCACTGATGCACTAAAACTAGTAAAAGTGCCGGGATAGCAACACAGGCGCGAGGCTGAGTCGAATGACATGTCACATGACGTCAGCATGCATACTGATGTATGCTAAGCATTCATTCGCGCAAGCATATTCGGTGTATAAGTGTAGTATCCCTGCCCGACCAATACGGAAGCAGTACGGAACTAATACGGAGCTTTGCCTAGTGTATCTCCGTATGTAAGCGTACGGCGTCTGCTGCATATAAGCGGCTGCGCATTTCTGTTTAGATGAAGATGAGATTTTGATAATAACGAGCTATTCAACCTCCAGGTGAGCACCGGAGAGAAAGTCAGTTATTTTGCCGTTCCTTCTTTCATTAACGATTATATCTCAGGTGTGTACCTGAAAGTAGAATAAATGTAATTATTGTTAATTGCACCGCGCCTACCACTCGGCTACCTATTACATTGGTGGCAGCGGTGTAGTTTTAAATAAAACAGCGTGATTCGACCCCAGACCCCCATGGCTCAACCCGCTGCAGCTCCCTGCGACGAATCAATATGAGAATCATGTTTCTTGCCGTCCTGAGCCTGGCTCTGCTTATTAGCTTGCAGCACAGTCAGGGTGCTAGCGTGGATCACCCTTCTCTCCGCACAGCACTCACTGGAGACTTCGATGGCGATTCCAAGCGACCCGCTACCTACATGTATACTACCGGTGGTGATGGCGAAGCTGATGAGGACGACAACAGGCAGGCTGCTGCCCAAGACAAGGAGGGTATTCCCCAAGACCAGCAGCGTTTGATTTTCGCCGGCACGCAGTCGGAAGCAGGAGCCCACTCTTCACTTGGTACTTCGCCTCCGTGGTGGGATGCAGATTTTCGTCAACACTCTTCCTGGCTAGACCATCACTCTTTACGTCGCGCAAAGCGATGTTCTCGACAATGTGAAGACCATGATTCAAGACGATGAGGGAGGTCATTTGTCTGACCCCGAGCTAGCCGCTCTGAGTGACCGGCTCAACCAAGATGAAGATAAAACCTGGCTTGCCCTCCGCCATAGCTCCAGCCGCCGCCGTGGTTACTAACGCTGATTCCAGGTATGGCATTTTCTTTCCTGTCTTCCTTCAGTCTCCCTGTTCTCTTCAGTCTTCCTTTATGCGAGTGTGTGAATCCAGTTTAGTTTGGTAGGCGTCTGATCATGGTGAGCCACGGCTTACCCAGCTAACGTGGGACAATGTGTGTGACAACGCCCCTTATAGTTATAGTGTATTCAGTTCGGTTTTTGAACTGCGATGTTCCTGGCGGGTTGCGCCAGCGTTGTGCAGCAAGAGTGCTGTGGCTTCAGGTCCTATTTGGAGGACAGTTCTTTCCCCTTTTGACCCCGTGAGACCGTGTGAACCTGGTGTGCTTCTACTTTATGATTTGTTATTAGTTCATTTCTTCTGTCTACTCTAAACGTTATCATTTCCGATATAATTTGCCATCTTCCGGTTGACGCTGTGTTCGTAACTCTTCACTAATTTTTTGAAAATCACGAGGGCGTGATTATCTGTAGGAAGGGAGGGTGTAGTATCCCTGCCCGACCAATACGGAAGCAGTACGGAACTAATACGGAGCTTTGCCTAGTGTATCTCCGTATGTAAGCGTACGGCGTCTGCTGCATATAAGCGGCTGCGCATTTCTGTTTAGATGAAGATGAGATTTTGATAATAACGAGCTATTCAACCTCCAGGTGAGCACCGGAGAGAAAGTCAGTTATTTTGCCGTTCCTTCTTTCATTAACGATTATATCTCAGGTGTGTACCTGAAAGTAGAATAAATGTAATTATTGTTAATTGCACCGCGCCTACCACTCGGCTACCTATTACATAAGCCACAGGGGCGATTTTGGTCCGATTTTTAGCGAAAAAAAGTGCGGCTTATACCCCGGGAAATACGGTAATCAAAAACGCTAAGCCAATAACAAGGAGAAAGAGAGGTAAACAGAGCCGTGAAATGTTACTGGTGAAATGTTCATGCTGGTGTCTGCAAGCATCGTGTGGTCTTATCTGGTCACAAGACAACTCTACCTCTACTAGGAATTGACGGACCAAATGAAGATTGCATCAGCAATCTGCAAATTACCAGCCAGACAATTGTGGATATATAACTGATAAAGTCATCGTGGTATGCGGTATAAATGACTGAAGGAACTTTGATTATTGGTTGTCGATTGGTTCTATTTCTATTGGTGTTGAAACGAGCGTATTTATAACAAACGAGCGATCAGTTCCACTAACGAGCAAGCTATCGAGCGAGCTAACGAGCTTCATTGACGTTGCAAAATATAATTTTTAAACATTTTTTCTAAGTTCAATATTTTTCAGCTGGTTCAAATTATCACCGCCGGCATTTGGGGTTGCTGCTGCTTCACTTCGGACTGCTGTTTGGTGTTGAGATGTTTTTTCAGCGCCGTCATCGAGCAGCCATTGAAAGAATAGATCGTTTTCAATGATTGCAAGTAGCTCTGTTCTTCGCTGCATTGCGGGAGAAAACTTCCAAACGACTGAGCGTAACTTTCACTCGAATGAAGAGTTGACAGAAGCATGTCCTGCTACAGGTCAGCAGAGTCCACCAAAGCTGCAACGACAACTGAAACAACTCAGTGTTGACATGTCGTGCAGGTATACAGTCACTGTAACTGCAAGTGATTTTCACTTTGCGCGGAACTGGACTCTCGATCGACCAGGGAGTCGTAAAATATTCTGCGATTCCCCGGTCGACATGTACTACCATGTGTACAGAGCACGGTGTACGGTGTTCGTTAGCGCTAACGAGCTGGCCGCACTAGCGAGCCGAGTTTCTGGCGAGCGAGCTAACGAGTACCCGTTGAGATTGTTTCAACACTAATTTCTACTGTAGTATCAATAACTGATTATATTGCTATGTAAGTATGTTATATACACATAGTATTACTACCAGAACTACCGTACTGGCGTGATTAGAGCCCTCTCTCGAATAGCGTCCAAGTTTGGTTTTCTTTTGCTAATTTTCTTCTCCATGTCACCTTACTGGTGGTTTCAGGATCTAAATCACAATTCTTGTTGCCATTTCTGGGGAGTCGTGATTGTTTAGAGTGAACATTAGGCTCTGTTTTTGTTTTTTGCCTTCTTTGCTTTTATCATGGGTAACGTAATGTGCCAGTATTGAAAGATAGTGCCCCCTAGTGCCCCCCAGGGGCACTGGGGGGCACTAATCGCGGGAGTACAGTATTCTGTTGCTGTAGAACAGTGTGGTTGCAGTGACCTAAGTATGATTCATACACTGTTCTCTTTCTCAGGGCACATTAATTTTGATTTTTTATCTGTTCCATATAGGGAATTGAAGAAACCATTTTCAACCAATCGCAGGTGAAGGTGCATTTTCGCGACTTTGCTGGCCAAGAGCATTACACCGAGTCGCATGACATATTCACGGTTGCCATGACAGCACCATCTGTTGCCGCAATAGTGGTGGACGGCACAGAGTGTGTTGATAAGATCACACAGACTGTCAGCGCAACCGCAGCCAATATTGTTTGTCGCCTGTCTGCACCTGATGATGGTAAGTGATTAGCAATGAATGATTTTCTTGCATGTCACATGATCCATTCTCGCAATTTTGAACACTGCAACTAAATCCCTCCCTGCAACCACAAAGTTAAAACGAAAGGCACAAACCGTTTCAGTTTCCTGTTCAATCATAACTTTTCTCTGCAGAAAACGAGCAACAGTTGATCACCAGCCTGCCCTGGTTCCCATATCACTCAAACTAGTTATACAGTTACATGATCTTGGGATGGAGAGACATGCCACCTACTCCATTTGGTATACAAGCGGAAAATGGGAATTCTATGCTGTCCGGGATTGATTAGCTGCGTAATCATGGACTGGTATTCCTTGTTATTGGCAATTGTGTCACTTTGTCTTCGTGAATTATCAGGCTCTCTACAGACTGAGCAACAAGACCAGCAGCACCACCAGCAGCAGACGCAGCCGCAGCAGCAACAACACCAGGAAGAACTGCAACAGGCGCAGAGAATTGATGTCATTGCGATTGCCACGCGAGCTGATAAGCTAACACCTGAAGAGTGCACTGAAGTGGAGAAGGCCATAAGGAGGGAAATGAAATCATTCTCTCAGCGCTTGGATCTCTGCTTTGTGAGAGTAGTGGACGCTAGAAAGTCCAACAGTTACAGCATGAATGATCTAAGGAGAGATTTCATGCACTTGGTCCATCGAGTGTTGGCGGTAAGATTTCTTCTTTGGCCGAATTTGATAACCTTTCTCTGTCTTGAGTGTTGGTCGAGTAGCTGGTCGAGTAGCCCCCCCCCCCCCCCCCCCCACAAGGATGCGCTTTACAGAACCGCTATGCATTTAATTGTTTTATGGTACAATGCAAAATGAAAATATCACCACTCAGTAGGCCTATATTGCCCTGTCAATACACTGATGTTGATGGGAAACGGCACAACATCATATTTGGTCTTATACTTCTATTAAAATTTGCGCCGTCCTGCCGAAATGTGAAGCGTGTGACCTGCAAGATGTGTGTTTGTATGGAAACTGCTGACCAACTCTCACACAGTACATTGGTGCATCAGTCATGCACATACTAGAGTGACGGGGTGTGCAAAGACAGCTAGTACAAATTGATACTGTGAATGTGAAGAAGAGGCTGGTGCGACTTCGGCGATACTTGGGGAATTGTGTGTTGCTGCATACGTAGTAGCTAGTGCTTTCCCCGCCGACTTGAATTCTCACTTGACTGACTCACGACTGCCATCCAGGGTACATAAGAATTCCATCGAACCGTCCACTCGGAAAACCTGCAAGAAAGCACCACTCCCTACTCAATACACAGTGTTTCGGGGAATATAACCCTCATCAGTTGAGCTTGAGTAGGCTGAGGAAGATTGTGTCTGAAAAGCACCACTTATATAGTCCTCTCCAGGCCAAATCATCACCAGGGATACAAACTTACAGAGACACTCCATTTCCAGCGCGGCAAACACCACGTGAACACCAGATAGCAGCGTGAGTCAGTGTCGCTCATGGAGGTGCTGAACAAACGCTGAGGACCGTTGGCGACTCACAACATTGTTGCTTCCAAACCAACGAATTCGCAAGCCCGCACTAGGGTCAACAATGTTCAGCACCTCCATGAGCGACACTGATTCACGCTGCAATCTGGTGTTCACGTAGTGTTTGCCGCGCTGCAAATGGAGTGTCTTTGTAAGTTTGTATCCCTGGTGATGATTTGGCCTGGAGAGGACTATTTAAGTGGTGCTTTTCAGACACAATCTTCTTCAGCCTAGTCAAGCTCAACTGATGAAGGGTGAATTCCCCGAAACACTGTGTATTGAGCAGGGAGTGGTGCTTTCTTGCAGGTTTGCCGAGTGGACGGTTCGATAGACTTCTTGTGTACCCTGGATGGCAGTCGTGAGCCAGGCAAGTGAGAATTCAAGTGGCAGGAAAAGAGCGGGCTCCCACATATGCAGCAACACATAATTCCTTTTCCTTATAAGAAGTTCTGCGCAAATCCACACAGATACAATGTTAGTGTTGTATCGTACAAGAACATACTAGGTTTCTCGTGTGCTCTGTATGACAGTCGTGAGTCAGTGAAGTGTCAAGTCAAGTCGGCGGAAAAGTGCGAGCTCCCGTGTGGCAAGCAAACGCTTTCACATGCCGCTACCACTAATTCGCACTTTTTCAACTTTGACTACAGAAATCTCCCAAGCAACCACGTTTGCTGCAGAAGGCTCGAGAGCATTTGGATGAGGTTCAGGCATCTATGCCCAATCCATACTGCTCAAGAGATGAGTTTGCGCTGGCATTCCACAAGGCAATTCAAGGAACCGACACTGCACCGCCAGAACGATTCGCTGACAGATATCTACGCATCTTGAGTGCATATGGATATGTAAGGGTAACGCATGCCTAGAAATGATGACATGTGATGATGAATTTCTGTGTGTACATATAGAATGATTTCCTTGTTCCCCTGAGGTTTGCTATGCTCAAAGCCCTATATGACTTCAAGCTTTGGAAGGCTTTGCCGGCTGGGTGCCCTTATAACCTGCACAATGTGTTACATTCAAGATATCACTCCTGTCGTGGCCCAACTCGGATGAGTTCACAAACATGTAATCCTGCCTATTTGGGAAAAAATCGAACTGAGTTACACTGAGAACATCATGAACCGCACACACACACATGCGCGCACGCTCGCACGCATGCCCACACACACACACGCACACCCCCCCCCCCCCCCACACACACACACGCACACAGCACATACACATACACACCCACACAGATGCACACACACACGCACACAACACACAACACACTGCACACACGCACGCCGACTCGCCCGCGCGCAAGCGCACGCACGCCCACGCACGCACTCACGCGCGCGCGCACACACAACACACACAGCACACTAAAATTCAATGGTGCTCTAGCTAATGAAGCTCTTTGGAGGAGAATGTAACCTAAAACTGGTTGCTGTATGCACACCAATAGCCCGTTAGGTTGTATATTTGAGCTTTATACAATAGATATTGGGAGTCAAAACTTAACTTCAGTTGTCCCTCTCTAATTCGCCACCTTTTGCAGCAGCATTTTCTGCTGGATAAACAAGGGTGCTGGATTATAAAATCCTGCTCTCCAACCCGGCCCACCTACAAACATGGTTGTGTTAAAAGTCAAAACACAGAGATTTCTGTTTCAATCTAATTACTTTGTGTAATGCATGTCTATACAATGCATAGGATAGTTGCAAGGGTATGTTACATGTGTAGAACGCTACATGATAAGTTAGTTCATGCATGTCATGCACTCACCAAACTAACATAGCTGTGCACGGGTAAGGTTTGCGATGTACAACTGTTGGATTATAAAATCGAAATATGTACAGTTTGAGCGATTGTTGCAGAAAATCGCTACGGGAGCCGGAATTCAAGTGCCGGATTAAAGCGTCGAAACTGAACTGAAAAATCCGTTTCGCCAGAAAGTGGGCTGCTTTGCAAGGGTTCTGGATAAACAAGTGCCGGATAAGAGAGGGAAATATACGTTTCTTTCTACTTGATGTACATTTCTGTTGTGTTTATGTGTACGTGTGTGTGTGTGTGTGTGTGTGTGTGTGTGCATGTGTGAGTGTGTGTGTGTGTGTATGTATGTGTGTGTGTGTGTGTATGTGTATGTGTGTATGTGTGTGTGTGTGTGTGTGTGTGTATGTGTGTGTGTGTGTGTGTACATGTGTGTGTGTATGTGTGTGTGTGTGTGTGTGCATGTGTGTATGTGTGTGTGTGTGTGTGTGTGTGTGTGTGTATGTGGTATGCCTTTGATACTGCTAAAGGTCATCACATTCCCAGAGCTGAATGATCTGGTGGTTCATCAGCCTCGCTGGCTCCTGCAGGACGTGATCGGGTTTATGTACTCGTCCAACGTCTTCCCCCACCGCCCTGATGGCATTGCCAGGGAATACAAGATGAGTGAAGAGGAGTTCGTCCGTTCACTGACTTCATTCGCCAAAGTCGGAGAAAAAGCTCCGCTCTGCGTGCGTATAGTTCTACAGCTCGGCTTGTCCATCCGCTATCAGAAGGATATCCTTGCTCTCTCCCTATTTCCCGAGTGCACACAGCCATTGAAGGTGCACAGAGCCTTCATGACCTCACAAGTGATGGTAGGTTCTGTGTACAGCTGCAATGGCTGTGTGCCATTCTCATCTGGTCTCATTGTTCAATGCCAAGCACGTGTATACGACTACTCCGTCTGCTTTTTCGCCAGTACTGATCCCATGTTCTTCAAGAACACCATCATTGTCCACCCGTATCCGCACACAACAGCGCTGATTGTGTTTTCGTCCGACCGTCAGCGCTGTTGTATTGCAGTGACGTCCAGTCGCGGTACGTACCTGCAAGTGGTTCACCACGTCCACTGGTTATTTCAAGATCTCTTCCTTGACCTACTGAAGAGATACAGTCGTGGTACTTCGGTAGAGCCCACAGTACTCAGCCTGTGCAGCATGCGTCAGCTTATCCAGCAATCGGCTTCACCAGCTGCCATCTGTCCAGTGGTTGCTTCCTACCCGTCCGAAGCCGTCATTCTTGCCGCAAGCAGTGTGCAAAGCAAAGATGTCAAGGACGCCAGCGGTGTGTTCATTGACTCGGTGCAGGATCTTCATCACGTTCCTGCCACGCATGTCAGTATGCTTCCTGCCACATGTACTGATCGCCTGGAGAGTCTGCGAGATTCCGCATTCCTGAGCGATCTCCAATCAAGCCTAGATGTGAGTGAGAGGGAAATCAGCCGACTTGGTGGCCCCCAATCAGTGTCGCCCGCTGGACCCAGTCGGCTGAATGCCTCGCTGGTGTTGTTGGCATGGTGCCGACAATCTCATCGTCACACATCTACTGTGCTATACAGCAGGTTAGCTCAGCACTGCTTTTCTTCGCCATTCTCCATTTTCTACCGAGAGATCTGCAGGATGCTGGTGGAGAATGAGAACATGGTGAGCAGAATAAGAATTTTTAAAAGTTTTCCATAACTATGAATCTCTGCTGTCAATATTCATAAACAAAATTACAAATTTGCTTGAATGAGAACGGTGCGTGTTTTGTTTGATCATATCAAAATTGAATATCATGAACTTGTAGTTTGTAATTTATTTATTTATTTATTTATTTATTCAACATCTCCTGGCCCGTCCGAAGACTGCCAATAAACATGAGAGGTCAGGTGATAGCCAACCACGGCAAGCTAAAAGGGAAAAAAAGAAAGATGCTGTCAGAGAGGGAAAGAAGATAGGGAGAGAAAAAGAAAGGGAGGCACATTAATAATACATGGGATCACTTCGGATGAGACAGTGTGGAAAGCTGGACTGTGAATTTCCTGATATCCTGGCATGTCTTAATGCTAGTAGGCAGGTTAGACCAAAGGGAGTATGCTGAGAAGAAAGGGGATTTCAAAAACAGAGAGGAACTAGCTCGGGGCAGTGATAAGGCATTGCGTGTTGGTCTAGTGGTAACAAACCAGTTGTACTTGGCAATATGTTTCGGGACTTGGGCTAGGAAGATTTTTTGCACAAGGATACAAAGATGCTGCTGATGTCGGGCAAGAAGAGGGTGCGTGGAAGCAAGTTTATAAAGACAAAGGGAGGCAAATGTTTGGTCTTTTCGAAACAGAATTTTCAGAAGCAAGCGTTGATGTACCTCCAGTCTGTGGAGTAAAGTCTGAGACAACCCGCACCAAGCTATATCGCAATAGTCAAATATAGGCAAAATGTACGACTTAAAGAACAATTCTCTGCAGTTATCATTCAAGTGTTGGCAGTGGGGTTGTAGCATACCTAAGGACGCACTCGCACGCTTGCACACAGACTGGACTTGTGGAGACCAGGAGAGTTGGCGGTCGAGAATAACGCCCAGGTGCTTGTGCTCGTTAACAACTTTAATAGGTGTACTATTTAGACCAGGAAAATACAGAAGTTGAGTGGGGGGCGAGGGAGAGAAGAACATGGCCTCGGTTTTGGCGAGGTTAGGCTTCAGTTTCCAGGTTTCCATCCATGTTACTGTAGCGTTGACCCCGGACTGCATGGAGGCCGTGAGGTTGTCTGCCGAGCTGTCGGAGCACATCAGAGCAGTGTCGTCAGCAAAAAGACTTACATTTGGTACAAGGGCTGGCAAGTCATTAACGTACAGTAGAAATAGGAGCGGCCCAAGTATGGACCCCTGGGGTACCCCAGACACGACTAGTAATGGGTCTGATAGGGAGGTAGATACTCTGACAGTCTGGTGGCGGCAGGAAAGATAGGATGAGAGCCATTGCAGGGCTGGACCGTGTACCAAGAAGACGGACTCTAGCTTTGCAAGCAGACCACGATGCCAGACGGTGTCGAAAGCTTTCGCTAGGTCAAAGAACACGATGCCAACATGCCGCCTGAGGTTCCGCTGGGTGTAGATGTCTTGTACTAGACGTGTTAGTTGGAAAGTTGTGGAGTCTCCACGGCAGAAACCGGATTGAGATGGTGAAAGCGCTGGGGTGACGTGGCAGTACAGAGACTCAAAGAAAATACGTTCACAGACCTTGGACACAGCGGGAAGGAGAGAGATTGGTCTGTAGTTGCCAGCCTGAGAGCGTTGGCCTTTCTTATAATCTTCTCCTTATGAAGCAAGAAGTTTTAGATGATATCGGTCATTCGCAACAATGCATTTAAGATAATATCTGTTTTCACTTGGTACAATTTCCATAACTAGATTTCACTTGGTAAAATGTCCAGAACAACCTTGGCTAGACTACAAAAAAAATTAAGTTTTCTAGCCTCTCAAGGAACCTAAGTTATGCAAAGCTAAGTGTGTGTGTATGTGTGTGTGTGTATGCGTGTGTGAATGTGTGTGTGTGTGCGTGCGCGCGCGCGTGGGTGTGTATGAGTTTGCATGTTTGTGTGTGCATTTGCATACATGTGTGTGTACATGTGTGTGTGTACATGTGTGTGTGTGTACATGCGTATGTGAGTGTGTTGGTGTATATGTATGTGCACGTGTGTATTCTCATGAAGCTGATGGAAGCATTCCCGGACATCATCACCTATGAACAGCGGCAGTTGAAGGAGCAAGAACGTCTTCGTTGCCAGGCGGACAGTAAGTGCATTGTGCATTTCTGCTATCAGGAAGCCTGTACTATAAGTTCTGCGCCCACCAAATCCAGACCATATCCATCTCCATTCTTTTTAAACCAATTTAGCTCCAAAATCTGATATTGAACCGGCCTGAAGAGTATAATTGTTTGCTATGCTCCACATTTAGCTTGAAAACTACATAAAGACTATTAGGATTAAAAGCATACGGTACTAATTGGAAAAGCAGTCAATGCGTAAAATACGCAGCAAACCTTCAATTTCAGGAGCTTTGACCATTTCCCATTGTCAAAATCTGAATGTGATGATGGTTTTCTGTATTGATTTATTGGTTTGTTAGAAACAATGGAGAATACTTGCACCCATGTTTATACACAGTCTACAGTCTAGTGTGATAATAGAGAGGTTCCGCACTACGTAAAGTTGAGCAACTTTACGTTAGTGGGCGGGAAAAACCCGTGAATTTGCGAGTTTGCACTCCACTTACGGGAAGTTGTCTACGGAGAGTACGTAGATAGGGCTCTGATAACGTAGCTGGTCCGTAGGTGGATTGGGGTACAAATTTATGACTCTCTACCCATGTCGATCTGGTCGTACACTGCCGCGTTCGGAGTTGCCCAGGGCAGCTACGTGATTTGAAAACTCTGTATGGCGGAACCCAGATGCGCATGCAGTTTACGTAAGACTTTCTGTAGATCGACTACGTTTTTACTAACGTAATTACGTTATGCGGAACCTCTCTAATATCAGCGTTCCTGTTCTATAGAAATATACTTGTAAAAAAGGCCAAGGAACTACAAGTTTGGACTCGGATGAAGAGCCAAGGATAAATTTATAGCAAAGAAAAATGGACTAATCGACTCAGTGTCGTGCAATATTATGGCATGAGCTGATTGTTTAGTAACTGCCAGTGGTGTTAGTGGAGCGGATTATGGCATAACTTGTACTACTGTACTAGTTGATTGGTCTGTTGATTGTTTTCTTTACTATGAACTACAAGTTACGCCATAATGTCCACTAACACCACTAGTTACTAAACAATCAGCTCATGCAAAAACAATTTAAAGACACTGACCGACTGTACTGACGTACTACAACTAACGGGCTAACATTGTTTACCAACTGGTGGTGTTAGTGGACATTATCGCGCAACTTGTAGTTCCTTGGTCCTCTATATTTTCTTTAAATTAATCCTTGGCTCTCCATCCGAGTCCGTTCCTGTTCTAGTCTTTGTTTTCCACACTTCCAGTGTTTGTCTTGCACACAAACTCTTTGTACTTAATTATTATCATTATTATTTCTCACGGTGGCCGTTGGCCAATCAGAGAGATGCAATTAATAATGGTGATTATATGAAGCTATGAGGTAACATTAGTTGAAAATATGGTCATACTGATAGTTGAAGAGTTGATCGCTAGGGAGTGTACAGGGTATGTGTTATGTTTGTCTCTATGCCGTCTAACAGATGTTCCATTGGCGGATGATTGGTTCTCGACTGCACCCAAGACGTCATTCCTGGGCCAGAATCCCTGGTGAGTATAACATTCCTCTCAAGTTGGTTTCATTTCTCATTGTGATGAATGAATGTTAGTAGAAATTCCTCTTAAGAATTCCACTGTACTCTGCAGTACCTATGAAGTGTACATTGTATTCTGCAATCACATCTGTTACTATGGTTAATAACCAGACATTGGAAAGTATGTATTTATGACAATGGTTTTCATCTCTACTTCTGTATGTGTGTGTGTGTGTGTGTGTGTGTGTGTGTGTGTGTGTGTGTGTGTGTGTGTGTGTGTGTGTGTGTGTGTGCCTGTGTGTGTGTATGTGTGTGTATGTGTGTATGTGTGTGTGTGTGTATGTATGTGTATGTGTGTGTGTGTGTGTGTGTGTGTGTGTGTGTGTGTGTGCGTGTGTGCGCGGGTGTGTGTATGTGTGGGTGGGTGGGTGTGTTGGTGGGTGGGTGTTTATGTTTGTGCGTGTATGTGTGTGTGTTTAAATTTGCCTGTGTGTGCCTGTGTGTGTGTGTGTGTGTGCGTGCGCGTTGGTGCAAGCGAGCCTGCGCATCTGAATGTGTGTGTATGATGTTATCGCTATGCGGGTATGCGTGTTTCTGTGTCTATGTATTTGATGTGTTGTTTTGATTTACAGCGTGGGAATGCTACGATCTCACCTCCATGCAATGCGTGTTACGGATAAGCTGATCGTGGACTCTGATCACTACACTCTGGTCCAGGGTGAGTCCGTTTTACTTCACAATCTCTGCTATTTCATATTCATGATGATCACTTGCCTAGACAGAACTTCCTGCGATTTACAACACGTTTTAAGAAATCTTTCTACGACTTTTATCCATATTTATTCCCTTTATCTTTGTTTGTCTTAACAGAAGCTGAGGTAGCAGCAGAGTTGCTCACATCAACAGTAGCACCAGCAGCAGTAGCACCGGCACCAGCAGCAGCAGCAACAGCAGCAGCACCAGCAGCAGCAATAGCAGCAGCAACAGCAGCACCGGCAGCAGCAACAGCAGCAGCACCAGCAGCAGCACCAGCAGCAGCAGCACCACCAGCACCAGCAGCAGCAGTACCAGCCCCAGCAGCAACAGCAGCACCACCAGCAGCAACAGCAGCACCACCAGCAGCAGCACCAGCACCAGCAGCAGCACCAGCAGCAGCACCAGCAGCAGCAGCAGCACCGGCACCAGCACAAGCAGCAACAGCAGCAGCACCAGTAGCAGCAGCAGCAGCACCAGTAGCAGCAGCAGCAGCAGCATCACCGACTGTAGCAGAGAGTAAAGGTATGAGACAGATAGTGATACTCAACATATTATGGGTATGTTTATTTCTGAGTAGTTTTTGACCACTTTGTGATGGGTGTGATGTACTCACCTGGCACAGCTTAGTAGTGATGGATGTACTCCTTGATTCTAGACGGTGATGGTGCTCATGTACATGTGAAAAACTCAGTCTCCAGCCAGGTCACATTTCTTTATTCATTTTTATTTCTCACCACCCTCTTCACATCCACCTCCGTTCTTCTACTCCACATCCATCTCTGCTTTTCCAAACTCTACTTTCCCTTTTCTGACATCCGCATCCACTTACCCTATTACCATCCTTGAATCAACTATGCACAATGCATAAACAGATGATGGTGGCAAGAGAATGAGTGGTTATCACCAGCATGTTACAGCTTAGAGTGTGCTGTGTGGATAGGCATTAACCTCCATTTCTCCCGCTGGGTTTAAACTATCATTTCAATGCAAATCCTATGGTGTTTCGTTGGAGTCTTTGCATCATTCTGCTCTGCTGTAAGATCACATGACTCCTTCAACTTGTTTACCTTATTCTGACCATGTTCTTCCTAGGTATTTCACCACAAAATGTACTCGTAGAGTACTAAAAATGAACTATACGTATTGTGTGCCTCTGTTTCTGTTTTCTGTTTACAGCTGATCCATTTGAGGATGACTCATTCACCGCACATATACTACCAAAGTTGTACAAGATATCTTGTGATGTACTGCGGCAAAGCGTTCAGGCACAAGGACTCCTGAGTGGTTTTGATACCCTTCGGGAACTAAAGCGTGCTGAACAATTTGAAGGTGTAGAGAGTCATCACTTGAAGTTGATTGGATACATCCGTGCTGGAGAGCGAGATGCATACAGAAAGCTGTGTGCAGCAGTGGGAAACCTCAACTTGCAAGATCTGCACAACACCATGCTAAGGCTACTGTAGTAGGAACTCTAGTCATGATGTGGTAAGTTTGTTGTGTGGTTTTGTATTTCTCATACATTCACCTCTACATGTATGTTACAGGACCGCAGCAAGCAGATTTTCATTAGTCTGCCCATACCATAGTATTTGGTAATTTGTGTCTGATATAGCGGGTATACATACATGTTACTACTCACCAGTCAACACACTCTGATGGACAAACAGTTGGTCTACCCATGACCTAACCAACCGGACCGCTTCCGCCACCCATGTGCTAGTGTGTGTGTGTGTGTGTGTGTGTGTGTGTGTGTATGTGTGTGTGTGTGTGTGTGTATGTATGTATGTATGTATGTGTGTGTGTGTATGTGTGTGTGTGTGTGTGTGTGGTGTAGACCAAGCTGAATAGTGGCGGTCAATTCTTCAGCCTTGCAAGCTGTTGAATGGTGCAATCCCAGCATAAACTGCTATGGCTTCTGCTGTAGCATCGCTATCATCGCCTCCGGCGATGGGCGTCAAATGGTCAACAAAATGATGTGTGTGTGTGTGTGTGTTTGTGGCTGTGTGTGTGGGGGGGGGGTGAGGGCGTGGGGGGGGGGGGGGGAGTCTGGGCGCTCAAATGTGGAAGACTGTGTGTTCATGTGTGGGTGTGTTTTTGTATGTTCTTGTGTCTGATTTGTGTGTGCTTGTGTGCATCTGTTGGCGTGCGTGTTTGTACATCGTGTGTGTGTGTGTGTGTGCGTGCGTGTTTGTGAGTGTTTACATGTATGTGTATGTGTGTATGTGTGTGTGTGTGTGTATGTGTATGTGTGTATGTGTATGTGTGTGTGTGTGTGTGTGTATGTGTATGTGTGTGTGTATGTATGTGTGTATGTGTGTATATGTACATGTACATGCATAATGTCTGTTACATCACTGTTCAGATTGTGCAAGACTGCTTTCTCCCAGCATTCCATGTACATCACTGTTCAGATTGTGCAAGACTGCTTTCTCCCAGCACTCCATGTACATCACTGTTCAGATTGCGCAAGACTGCTCTCTCCCAGCACTCCATGTACATCACTGTTCAGATTGTGCAAGACTGCTGTCTCCCAGCACTCCATGTACATCACAACAGTCATACTCACCCAGCCGACCGCACCCCGCGCGTATCCCGGTATGCTTGTTTGTGTCGTTCTTCCCCTGCCACTGCTCTGCCCTATGCAACGTGTTCTTTTTCCTCATCTACACATGTATCATAATTATTGTATTCTTGAGTTGCTTGCTCACCAGTTGTGGATATGCTCCATGTGTATTCTTTTGAAGGTGACCGTCCTTGAGAATATTTTCTCAAACAGCAGCTCCACCACCTCTGCGCCCACCCCCCTCCCCATCTTTCCTCCTCTCTCCCAATCCCACACGCGCACACGCGAGCATGTGCGCACATACATAATTTGTTATAATTGTTTGCTATGCTTGCCAAGACTGTTGGTATGTTTCCATGGACTGTGTTTTTTTACTAATGCAAGTACATGTACATGTATACATAAATGTTCCTACTTTTTAAAATTCAATTTGGTTTGCTCTAGAGCATCTTTCTTTTGTTCTTATTTCTTTCCAGCTACATCTCTACATAAATGTTCCTAGTCTTTAAAATTTATTTTGGCTTGCTCTAAAGCACCTCTATTTGCTGTGACAATTGCACAGTATTCTTTTCATTTTTCACTTGACTTTGTTCACATCTTTGCATTTGCGCACATACATAATTTGTTCTATTGTTTGCTGTGCTGGCCAAGACTGCTGGTATGTTTCCATCGACTGTGTTTTTGAATATTTTCTTAAACAGCAACTCCCCCACCTCTGCCCCCACCCTCCTCTCTTCCAATCCCACACGCGAGCACGTGCGCGCATACATATCTTGTTATATTGTTTGCTGTGCTTGCCAAGACTGCTGGTATGTTTGCTAATACATGTACATGCCTGTACATGTATACATAACATGTTCCTACTCTTGAAAATTCAATTTGGCTTACTCTAGAGCACCTTTCTTTTGTTCTTATTTTTTGCTGCTACATCTGACAGTCATCTGTACATAAATGTCCCTAGTCTTTAAAAATCATTTTGGATTGCTCTAACGCACCTCTCTATTTGCTGTGACAATTGCACAGTATTCTTTTCATTTTTCACTTGACTTTGTTCGCATTTTTGCTTCCGCTGAGACTTCTGTTGACCCTGTATTGAACTTGGCAGCTGAACTTCATCTCCTTTCCTCGGATTTTTGCCTGAACAGATCATGACTATTGTCACTTCTCCACTTTGTGTGCTTATTTGAGAAATTAATGTGATGGAAATCACATACATGTAATTCTAGGCTTGCATTGTTCATAGTCACTGACTCCAGTGTCTGCTCCAGGGCCGAGTCAGCCGGGCGAAGGACCCGTTTGGTGGGGGGGGGAGGGGTACTTGGAACCGTTTGAAAAAAGAACACCGGGTCACTTGTGACCTGATTGGGAGATATCCATGTGCATGTTGTGTAGGTAGTCAGTGTTTTCTATTTCAAAGAGGTACAAACTGACACATCTACATGTTTGATGATCAGCATGAACACCATACCTGATAACCATCCAGATTTGGCAGAGACCGTCCCGATATCGAGAGCGTTACTTAATAGGTACTACCCAAAAGTGAATATTTACGCATGCCTCGCAATTACATTTACATGTATCAGTATACATTTTCATAACTACATGTACTTCTCTCTCAAAGACTATGTACAGTCTACTCGCCATAAGCCACGCACCATGTCCTGGAACAGAAAATGTGCGAATTATCGCGAGTGTGCGACTTACATCAGATTCTTCAGCACTTCATGTAGATCTACATTGTACCTATTGGCAGCTAGCTGTATGCAGAACCACTGCTGCTTGATCAACAGAGCATGTTTATCCGCTAAAGTAACACTTTATAATAGTTCAGGAGAAGATCTCGCGACAATCGTGTGTTGTTGCGAGGTCAAAATGCTACATGTACAGTTGCAAGTCACGTGGTTTGGGTAGTCAATTCCCGCCGCAGTAGCTAGTACACAACCTTCTAGGTTTCACTCCTAGTAAACCTGTACTTCATCACCTTTGCTTATGTTATTCATTTCCAAAGAAAATGATATTCACTTTAGTCGATCTTCCTTCCACTTTAGTTCTAGTGGCCATGATTTAGCAGCAGCGGTCAGGTATGGATGATGGCGGACGTAGTTATGAGGGTGACTAGTCATATGAAATGTTTGAAAATGTGTCAGAGTCAGGCCCGTTGGATGAAACTGAACCAGAAAATTTTCCAAAATGGTTAGGAGCTTGAACATCGCGTACAGGATTATTTGAGCGGACCTCAGAGCCAATGCAAACCAGGACAAGACTGACTCAAGGAAAAAAACATTATATTAAAGAAGGTTTTGCATATCAGCCCTGCCGCTAGAGTTACGGAGTTCCCTCAATAGTTTCCGACCATCTTTACTGAAAAGTTGTTTTGTGAAGTGTGCCACCTTGTAGTGATGCCAAAAAGAGCATGAAGTCATAGTGCTTCGGAACGACATCGCCGCAGCGAGCGACAGAAGGAGAAGGCTAAGATCCATCAATCGACTTGATCCGTCTCATGGAAGCAGTACCAGGATAGGGATAGTGAGCAGATAGACGACACAACGTCTGGATAGTGTTCAACGCCGCGCACTGCGGATCATTGGCCCTAGTGCAATTCTCCCCAGTCTGGCTGTCTGCCGGACTGTGGCTGCTCTTTCCGGTCCCGTGCATGTACAAATTGCATTAATCACTGGTCCTCCTCAGCTACTTGCTGTATTGCCACCGCGTCGTGTTTCTCCAGCCAGAACCAGAACCAGGAACGAGCACAATTATGCCACTAGCCACGCCTTTCAACTGTCAGACACGCTCCCTGTCTCAGCTCCATCCTTCGTGAAGCGGTCGTTACCGTACTGCTGTATTGGCGCATGGAACTCCCTTCCTGACAGGCTGCTGTCGCAGCGCCCGCACAAAACACGTTTTCAGTCATTCAAGACAAAGGTCTACCCACACCTGAGAGACAGCAACTGGTGCTGGGCCGAAGTGATTCCCTGTAATTTTCGAGCTCGTCCCTTGTCAGACCCTCGTACCCGGCCTTGCTCAGACTGTCAGAGTGCTCAGCTGTGTGTTGCATACATGTACAGTACATGTATGCTGCTTTTCGAGCGGACTCTGAAGTACCAAGCATGGCTTATTGCATAATGATGTAATGTTATGTTAACAAGTTGAGAAGATTGAGCGCGTGTCGTTATCACCTGACCTTGTTATCACTTTTGTCGTTTTTGTCACTTAGGGTATGCCACGTTTCTATGCAGAATGTGCGCAATTGCGCCAATTTAGTCCTATAAAGATCGGTCTATTCTTATTATTCTTTCATTCAACATCATATGCCTCCACTGATGAGCTCAGGAGGAGCGAAACGGCTGTCTGGAGGGTCATTGTCAATATCAATCTATATACCGGAATTGTCCTCGCTGTGGTGATGGTGATGTGAGTGCAGAGTTTGGATCGGCCAAGAGCGCAATGTGGTGATGTGAGTGCAGAGTTTGGATCGGCGAAAAGCGCAATGTGGTGGTGTGGTGTATTGGGTTACACTGTATTCAATTCATTGGTGTGGAAATGGGGGGAGTCGTCGTGTCGGAAGCAGGATTTTGCCGAATTACAAGTTGAAACTGTGTCTGTCAGCGTGTGTTATGTCTGTGTGTTGTGTCTGTGTTTGGGGCGGGGCGGGGGGGGGGCCATGATCTCCCGTGGTCGGACACTGATTACTTGGGGCGTTTCCCGTTTCCCGAGGAATGCAGAGTAAAAATTGAAGTATCTCTTGAGGTAAGATGTTGACAACACTGGGATGTGTGGCCGAGTGGTCAAGTTCGTGATTCAAAGGATTGGTAATGGAAAAGTGCAGGTGAGTTCGAGTCTGGCTACATGTAACTTTTTTCTTCACCTCGCACAACATCTACAGCACTCTCATGTACATGTCATTGCAGTGACACGGTACATGGTGATCATAGTCATAGAATTAATTACAACATGATGCATAATGACATCACTTTGACGTCAGGGTGGAAGTATTGATGTCACTAGACTGACTCGCTACAGGACTCGAGTGCAATGACTATAGAACTGAAATGATGACCAGCAGGGACTGTGAATGGAGTCATGTGATGTCACGTGGTGTGTGTACCTGGAATTCTACTTCATAGTCCATGTTGGTATTTCTATGTTTACAGCCTTGCATGCATGTCTAGTGATATGTCTCAGCAGAAACTTTAAAGGAATGTGACAGCCATTACACAAACATGCCTACAGCAAAACATCTACAAGAAGGCACAATAAGAACTCGAAGAAGAAATACAGAGCACTGGTCTTCTTTTTGAATTTTTCACGAGATTTTTGTACATTTATTTATTTATTTATTTATTTATTTATTCAACATCTCCTGGCCCGTCCGAAGACTGCCAATAAACATGAGAGGTCAGGTGATAGCCAACCACGGCAAGCTAAAAGGGGAAAAAAAAGAAAGATGCTGTCAGAGAGGGAAAGGAGATAGGGAGAGAAAAAGAAAGGGAGGCACATAGATTCTCTCAAGAAGCTGAGTCGATCCCCACCCACCATCCTATCGATACTTTTCTTTTATAGTCCTTTCTGGAGAGTGGTGGCAACTTCACACCTATGCAAGCGATGAAATGCAGAACATGTTCATCGCATGTATGTACATTACAGATTTGCACCTATCAGAAACGTCTGCTCTTCTGTTATCACATGCAAACACAAACACACACACACACACACACACACATGCACACTCGCAGGCTCAGACTCAGACATGCCCATCGCTGAAGCGATACTAGCGAACAACTTTATCAGACATACAACTTGTGCTGGGATTACACCAGTCAACAGCTTGCAAGGCTGATGAACTTAGTTCACCACGCACGCACACACACACACGTACGCGCGTGCGCGCACACACACACACACATACACACACACAAGACAGTGAATATTTATGCATACTGGAACATTAGTGAAAACTTTAAAAACGAATTGTTCTCGCTAAAGAAGGGAATTGTGTGTATTCCTCAAGAATTGCTCAAGGATCACCGAAGTCGCTACAACCTCTTGTTCACAAGCTTAAAAAATAGCTCGGATGGTGAGTCAATTTAATTATGGTGAAAAACTAGTCATAACTCGTAAAATGTTATAAAATAGCAGTTCAAAAAATGTCCCAGAAGTAGAGTGGTCGGTTTAGCCGATTAAAAGGTTGAATGAAGGTCTTATAACAGAGCTGGATACAACATTGCAAGAGATTGCTTCAGGGTTCATTTATGCAGGCGTGGATAATGAAGTAACAACGAAGGGTCAAATCCCGTTGCACTACACTTTGGAGTAATTCATGTTGTACCGTAATGTGTACAGTATCTGTTCATGTAGTATACTGCATCTACGTCTTGAAGATGAAGGAAACGCCAACGTGGTGGATGGATGCATTCCGACGCGTAGACAAAGTCATTGCTGGCAGCACACGTCGATGGTTGATAGTGAGCTGTCAGGATTCGAGGCAGCGTTGTAGCACCAGGATTTTAGGTGGGCGGACCATAATGGTATACACGACCAGAAACGAACACCGTCAATGAAGATCCCCGTTGTGCACGTATTCGGTGTATCGACGTTGTCGAAATGAGCGGGACCGGGTGGGTGTGCTACGATCATGGGTGTTGACGATGGCTGATACTGACCTGCGCGTAGAAATTATTCATGTCTTGTGTTCCGTGATTCAGATCTTCACCAGTCTAAACTGTAAGTCACACAAGAAAGAACACGACACAGACCAGGCACAATATAATAAGTTTCTACAACACACCAATATCCAATGATTTTCAGTGTAAGATGTAAACGGGAAAGGTCTGAAGAAAACTTAGACTGTCACCATCAGGACTTCACCCAGGGACCTTCGGTCGAGTACAGCAATGCTCTAAGCACTGAGTTATGGTGTAGCTATCATTCAAGCAGAGACCATTCAACATCTTCTTCAGACTTCCACACAAATACTTCAGTCATAGTGGAAACGTAAGAGGACCTAAAAGGCTTCATCTGATGTGTACATGCAAACACGGGGATATTTCCTGTCAACCTGGCCAAGCTAGGCAATTGATTTCTAGATTTTTCAATTCAATGAGATGTGATGGTCTGCCGGAATGCATAGCAAGTTTCTTGATGTATTACACTGTAATCATAGTGAACCACCGCCCCCACACACCTCCCTCCCCTCTCCCCTTCTTCCATGGCTGTATCAAGC